CATGTTTGGTAAAGGGCTGACACGTGAAACACAATAAAAAAGACGAGGCGCTAACAGAGCCGTGCTGACTTCACACGTTCGCAAACACGGCGACGCTGACAGATGCACAAAACATTTAGTTAAAGAAAAATATGCCGAGGGAAGCAAACGGATTGAATTTGATATCTAGTGAAAATGTGAATAAACAGTGGTTACCTGACATAAAGCACAAGTTTCTGATTGATAATGTAAAAAAATATGCAAGCCATGTTTCTCAGTAATAATGTAACAAAGCTGGTTACCTAACATAAAGCGTGCATTTCTGATTGATAATGTAAAATAAAACATATTACCTGACAGAGTGTGCTGCTTTAAGTGATAATGTAAATAAAAAAATCTGTGGTCACCTAACCTGATTGAGAATGTACACAAATTATACATATACCATATTTGTCAGTGATAATGTAACAAAGCTAGGCAACTAACATCCAGGGTGCGTTTCAAAGTGTAAATGTAAAATAATGTTGGTTAACTCTTTTAGTGACATAAAGTCTGTGTTTCTGATTATGAAAATATGTCATGTTTCTCAGTGATAATGCAAAAAAGTGATTACCTGACATAGAGGGTGCATATCTGAATGTTAATGTAAAATAAACAGAGGCTACCTGACATAGAGAGTGCAATCCTGAGCAATAACATAAATAAAGGGTACATTTGAGTGATAATGTAAAAAAATAAAAAAAATAAAAATAACTGTGATAATGTAAATAAATAAATAAATAAATAAATAATATATATATATATATATATAAATAAATAAATAAATATAAATAAATATAAATATATATATATATATATATATATATATATATATATATATATATATATATTATATATATTATATATATATATATATATATATATATATATATATATATATATATATATATATAAATATATAATATATATATAATAAAAAATTGAGCAGCTGGTTAGCTCAATTGGGAAGTCACTGGACTTTCACATGGGAGACCCGGGTTCAAATCCCCCCTCTGACGGGGCAGGGGGGACAATGAGCTAACCAGTGTGGGTCCTTGGGCAAGACCCTTCGTGCTACTGCCCACCTCATACAATGATGAGAGAGAAAGAAACGTATGACATGCCGGCTCAGATGTCGCCCGGCCAAACAAGGTCTGCATCAGGTGCTGGGGAACCAGGGCACCTTGATGAAAAATGGGCTACTGAAACACGGCGGAAATGGGCGAGATGCGAGAACAAGGCTCTGTTGGAATGCTACTACTACAGTAACCCTAGGCAGAGGGGTTACATGAACAGGATGTGGGAGAAATGGTTATTACGATACCCACAGTCCAAGCTAACGGCCAAACAACTAGTAGCTCAGTGTTCCAACATCCACAAACGGCAACTGCTATCACAACTAGAGATTGATGAGGTACAACACAAATGCCACGGCAAGGGGGAACCAGTGTGCCAGGTCAGAGGGGAGTTGACACCAACTCCCCAACCAGAGATTGGGTACGAAACCCCAATAAGTATCACGCTGAGCGAGGCAGCAACTGACCTGAAAGATAAGATCATGGCCCGAATGAACACAAGGCAACCCCGATGCCGGTTACAGAGGCTATGTGAAGTACCATCTGAAAGTCTCCTAGACGATGTGAATGCAGCACTGACAGTGATCCCTACCACAACAATCACTGAAACCAATGAGCTGATATACACTTCAGCAGCAGTGATCCTACATGTGTTGGGCTATAAGAGCAACCATGGGAGCCATGCGATACAATACCCACCATGGCAAAGACGGTTAGAGGCTAAAATCAAGGAGGTGCGGAGAGAAGTGAGCCAACTGTCAGAGGCCCAGAAAGGTGCAATGAAAAAGCAAGTGCCCAAGAGGTACAACCAGTTGCCCATACCTGAAGCACTCGAAACTGCCAAACAAAGGCTCCAAGCCTTGGCCAGCCGCCTAAAGAGGTACACACGAGATAACGAGGCCAGACGAATAAACCGGCTGTTCGCAACACAACCGGCGAAAGTGTACGCTCAGTGGCAGGGTAATAACAGCAGAGCATACCCACCAAGGCTGGAGACTGAGAGGTACTGGAAAGGCATATGGGAAAGGGAGGCATCACATAACACCGATGCACAGTGGCTGGTGGATCTGAGAGAAGACCACAGCAACCTCCCTGAACAGAATCCAGTCACCATCACAGTGGCAGACATCCAGGGAAGAGTCTCAGGTATGAAAAACTGGACCGCACCGGGCCCGGACATGATCCATGCGTACTGGCTAAAGAAGCTCACTGCCAGAACCAGCTGCTAAGGGATGGGACTCACCCTGAATGGTTAACCCAAGGGCGTACGATCCTGATCCTAAAGGATCCTTCAAAGGGTGCAGTCCCATCCAACTATCGGCCAATAACCTGTCTCTCCACAACATGGAAGCTCATGTCAGGCATCATTGCGGCTAAGATAAGTGGGCACATGAATCAATACATGAGTGCAGCAACAGAAGGGTATCGGCAAAAACACCAGGGGAGCCAAACACCAACTCCTGGTTGACCGAACAGTCGCCCGCGACTGCAGAACCCGTAAGACCAACCTGTGCAACCTGGATTGATTACAAGAAAGCCTACGATTCAATGCCACACACATGGATCACTGAGTGCTTGAAGCTGTACAATATCAACAGGACTCTAAGGGCGTTCATTGCGAACTCGATGCGGTTGTGGAAAACCACCCTTGAAGCCAAGGGGAAGCCACTTGCACATGTGTCCATCAAATGTGGCATATACCAAGGAGACTCACTGTCCCCACTACTGTTCTGCATAGGCCTGAACCCTCTCAGCCAAATAATCGACCGCACTGGCTATGGATACCGACTCAGAAACGGGGCCACCATCAGTCACCTAGTCTACATGGATGACATCAAGCTGTACGCTAAGAGTGAGCGAGACATTGACTCACTGATCCACACCACAAGGATCTACAGTACAGACATTGGGATGTCATTTGGGCTTGAGAAATGTAGCAGGATGGTGACAAAGAGAGGGAAGGTAGTCCACACAGAGGGGGTGTCACTCCCAGAGGGAACAATAGCAGATGTTGAGGACAGTTACAAGTACCTTGGTATCCCACAAGCAAGTGGCAACCTCGAAGAGGCAACAAGGAAAGCGGCTACGGCCAAATACCTGCAAAGAGTGAGGCAAGTCAAGTCCTTAGAAGCCAGCTCAATGGCAAGAACAAGGTGCAGGCAATCAACAGCTACGCCCTGCCAGTGATCAGATACCCTGCAGGGATTGTAAGCTGGCCAAAGGAGGAGATACAGACCACAGATGTTAAGACACGAAAGCTCCTGACCATGCATGGAGGGTTCCATCCCAAATCCAGCACCCTGAGACTGTACGCAGGCCGGAAGGAAGGGGGCCGAGGACTAGTGAGTGTGGGAACCACTGTCCAGGATGAAACATCCAAGCTCCTTGAGTACATCAAGGACAAGGCCCCGGCAGATGAGGTGCTCAGAGAATGTCTCAGACAGTGGGGTCCAGAGGAAGAGGTGCTGGAGGGACCATCATGGCAGGACAAACCCCTACATGGGGCGTACCACCGGAACATAACTGAAGTGGCTGATATCAAGAAATCCTACCAATGGCTTGAGAGGGCTGGTCTGAAGGACAGCACAGAGGCACTGATCCTGGCTGCTCAGGAGCAGGTCCTGGGCACTCGAGCAATAGAGGCCCAGAGCTACCACACCAGACAAGACCCACGGTGTAGACTGTGCAAAGAGGCTCCTGAGACAGTCCAGCACATAACTGCGGGGTGTAAGATGCTGGCAGGGAAAGCATACATGGAGCGACATAACCAAGTGGCGGGCATAGTGTACAGAAACATCTGTGCAGAGTACGGGCTGGAGACCCCAGGATCAAGGTGGGAAACACCTCCAAAGGTTGTGGAGAATGACCGAGCCAAGATCCTGTGGGACTTCCAGATACAGACTGACAGAATGGTGATGGCGAACCAACCAGACATAGTGGTGGTGGATAAGAAACAGAGCAGAGCCGTGGTGGTGGACATCGCAATACCAAGCGATGGTAATATCAGGAAAAAGGAACACGAGAAGCTAGAGAAATACCAGGGGCTCAAGGAAGAGCTGGAGAGAGCCTGGAAAGTAAAGGCATCAGTGGTGCCTGTGGTGATCGGACACTCGGGGCTGTAACCCCCAAACTGGAAGAGTGGCTACAACAGATACCGGGAAAAACAACGGACATCTCAGTCCAGAAAAGTGCAGTACTGGGAACAGCAAAGATACTGCGCAGAACTCTCAAGCTCCCAGGCCTCTGGTAGAGGACCCGAGCTCAATGAGGGTGAGAGAGACCAACCACCATGGAAGGTGAGAAACACATTTTTTTATATATATATATATATATTACCTGTCATAGTGTGTGTTTGTTCATGATAATGTAAAACAATCTGTGATAATGTAAAATAGTGTCTTTATCTGCCATAGAGGGAGCATTACCTGACAATGATAATGTATAATAATAATAATAACAATAATAATAATCATAATCATAAACAGTGATAATGTAAAATAAACAGATACTACCTGACAAAGAGGGTGTGTTTCTGAGTGGTAAAATAAATAAAGGGTGCATTTGAGTGCTAATGTAAAAATAATTTGTGACTATGTAAAATAGTGATCTTAATCTGCCATAGAGAGAGCCGTACCTGGCATAGACGGTGTGTTTATTGAGTGACAATATAAAATAAACTGTGATAATGTAAAATAAACAGCGGTTACCTGACACAGAGCATATGTTTATTGAGTTATAATGTAAAATAAAGAGTGGTTACCTGACACAGGGTGTGCGTTTCTGAATGATAATGTGAAAATAAACAGTGATGATGTAAAATAAACAGTAGTTACCTGACATAGAGTGTGCATTTCTGAATGAGAATGTAAAAATAAACAGTGATGATGTAAAATAAACAGTGGTTACCTGACATAGAGAGTGCGTTTCTGAGTGGAGCGCAGAGACGTGGAGCTGGAGCTGATGCTGCTCGTCATCATCTGCTCCCTCAGGTCATGGATCTTTGCCTCGAACCGGCTGTACTCTAAAACACAGAACACAAAACAACATAAGAAATGTTATTTTAATATTTTATAAAAAATAATCAATACCAGTTATTCAATACACAAACATTTTGTACAGTCTTTTTTCAATAACAAACCATCCCACATGAAAGTCACTGGAATGTTATGTTCCAAATTCAGGTAAATATCACTGAGAAATTCACTTGTCAGGTAGTATTTTGGTAGTATTACACAGCTGTACATGCAATGAAAACACACTACAAATACATATATTTACAGCATATAAAGTATTACATGGTAACAGTAAAAATGTATATAGCAGTGTAAGCCCGGGTCTTCTTTGTCACACTGTTTTTGTGTCCTTAGGCAAGACACTTAACCTACTTTGAAAATGTAACATTACTGTATAATTAGTGGTGGACCAGAGGCACAGAATGGCACCCACGCCTTAAACTGACTTCCCCAGGACGAGTGTGGCAGTAGAATATAGCTCGGCACCTCAGTGTGGCAGTCAGAGAAGTGAATGAATATTGTACCAAAATGTTGATTGTGTTGGAAAATTATAGACAAGAGGCAATTAAGACAATTCACACAACTCCAAAAGCTGTTAAAAATCTGAATGCTGTGTTTTTCATTTGATGTTTTTAATTGAGAAACAGCCCCGTTCAAACACTCTGCTTTGAGCCATAGTTCTGCAGTCTGTTTGATGTGAATACTAACTACCCTTACATCAGACTTACACTATTACAACAGGCATTTACACGCAAAACAAGACACTCAAATGCAGGGGTGACTTTTGAACACTATTCTGTAGCCATAACCTGCGCTGTGGTGTTTTCATGCTGTTTTCATTCATAATTGATTTGAAACAGTTATTAGAACTTAATTATTCATTTGTCAACAGATAAACAGAAGAAACAGAATCCACAAGAGAGATAAGTCACACAAACATATTAAACTGTAATTGGTTCTTGCTACATGAGTCAAAATTACTTGTACAACATCTGGGGGTAAAGCAGTGTATTCTAATCCCAATCCGAAATACTCAGATATTTTGCTATACAACCCAAACCCAAAACAAAGTTGTTGGTAAATGGTCATACTTTTATACGCCGCTTTTCCAATTCACGGCACTCAAAGCTCTTTACATCACAGAACCATTCACCCATTCACACGCGCACTCACACACAAGTGTACACAGACACTAGTGCATATTTGAGTCGTTTTCGTTGTGGATGCAGTGTCCGTCCACACTAATCCGACTGAAAACGGCTCCAAAGACGGAACGACCTGGTGCCGCAAGCTCCCACGAATTCATCTGAGTACAGATCTGATCCGGCACTGTGTGGACGCCTGAAAACGTCCATACACTGGTGTAGGTCAATGTGCCGCAAAGTAATTCACCGCCAAAATGCTAAGAGGCTAGAATATATGTCCATTCATATATATACGGTCTGTGTGTACGACCTGCAGATGTATAATCTCTGAAAAGTTTAATATGAACCATCTCCAACGTGACAGAAGCACAGAACAGACTCACCATCAGCAGAACACCCCTCTGTCACAGAAAGAACACTCATATTCCACTGAGTCGTGTCCTTTATTCCAACAGAAGCTGAACCACATCAGCGCACAATAGCGAGCTGTTTTTTGAGCACTTAGTTTATGCAAATTAGCCATACGGTTTTAAGTTTAATTTCTGTAAAACATAAACAAATATGTGCAAAGCTGTGTGGATAGGGAAGGCTTGCGGACACAGAAACGACATGTATGGACGCAAATCATTTCTGATACGGCGATTGGTTTCAGTGTAAACGTAGCCTAGCGGGCGATGTGGGTTAAGTGTCTTGCCCAAGGACACAACAACAGCATTCATCTGTGGGAGCTGGAATCGCACTGTCAACCTGTGGGCTAGTTAATCTGACCAATTTACGTCGAGAGCGAGATTGGAACCGCCAACGTTCAGATCAGCTTCCTGTCAGGTACAACATTTTGAAGTCTTTTTCCCCCCGTTCAAAAGATATAATATTTCATTTTAAATTGCTCATCGCTACGACAACGGTCACAATTTATCATCATTCTGAAACTCATGGATAGCTGCAGATCTAACAGGCAGCGGATCATTTTTCATCTGTGCCAAATTGGTCACGCTACTCTGCTGAAATCCTACGCGTTTCGCCGATTAAGAAAATAAAATGGGAGAACGAAATAAGCACAGAGCAGTGGGCGTGTACAGGTAGTGGTACAAATGGAGGTCAAACTGAGCGATGACGTCTTTAATGCAGGACAATACAGACTCCTCAAACATGCATGAATCACTCGAAACACAACTTTGAGTGACTAAATGAGAACGGAAACAATTATAAGATGGCTAAAAGCTCTGAAGAGTAATTTTGCACAACATGTCTCCTTTAATGTGTTCGCTGGTAAAATGAAAGTTAAATTTGAGAACTTTTTAATGTGTAACTCATCACCATGTTCTTAAAGTACCCATTAGTCGAAGCCCAAACACAATCAGAACTTAAAGGTGCATTGAGCAGGGCCATCTATTAGGGCTTGTCTTTTTGTTTTTTCCTAGAATGTTCCATGGTATGACATTAAACACATCTATCTAATAGGGATGTAACGATATCCAAATCTCTCTGTACAATATTATCACGATATGCATTTCACGGTACGATATTTATTGTGATATTTTGAAGAGGCTAGGACGTTTCTGCTTTTAAAATACCTTGACAAGATTTTGGTGGGAGTTATTTCTGTCATAATCCCAAGAATTCAAGTAAAAACCATATTTCTTCATGTTGTCTGCACTGAAATGAATCATGTGATATGTAGTTTCCGATGTTCAGAAGCTGTTGCCACTGTAAAACCATGCAATTCAGACGTGAGACTTCTGACAATACAATATCTCAATATTTCGGTGATCGTTACATCCCTACAATCTAACATTTATTCATTATGGGTGTTTCTATTGCTCAAAAATACGATAATTCTCCCTGTGAATTGGATTGCCTCTCCACAGATCTGACCTGTAATGTAGCCTATAGTTTAGTTTGTTTTTTTTTGTTTTTTTTTCAGATTTACTTTTTATTGAAAAAGCAGATTACACCTTGCAATGTGTAAAATGAAATCACACATTCCTGCTTTTACATTTTTAAAACATGTACAAACTCAGAACAGGTTGGGGAACCAGGGAACCTCTTTCACAATTTAAAAGAATATTGCAACTATGAAGTAGTTTTATATGAAGTCTGATCTCACCGGCTTTATATGCTCTGTCCATTTAGACCACAGCTTGTAAAATACGTCCAGCTGCACTTTCAGTAAAAATGAAACCTTTTCCATTGTGTAGATCTCTTGCACAATGTCAATCCAGTTCTCAATTGTTGGCCGCTCAGGTTTAAGCCACTTCCTTGTTATTGCCTTTTTACTCGCTGCCATTAGAATATGGAGTAATCTCTTGTTTGTATTTTTAAGTATGTCTAATATTAAGTTTAAAGTAATTAAAGTTTCAAATGATAGGGGGAAAACAAATGAAAAAACATTTAGCAGATGTTGATGAATCTCTGAGCAGTATTCTTGGATGAGCCCACATTCCCTAAAAATATGGAAATGATTAGCACCGTCATTACCACATCTCCAGCAGGTATCACCTATTCCTTGGTATCTCTTTTGTACTGGTGTAATAAAAGATCTCATTAGGTTTTTACATTTGACCCTGTTGAGATCCACTGGATTTGACATATGTGCTGTATAATCATCTTCCACCATTGTAAACTTTGAGATAGATAGCTTTAATCTCTACCGTGGAACATTCTAGACAAAGCAATAACATCACCATGAAGAAAAGCAGGTCATGGATCCTCCACCTGAAAAGTTATGCAATGCACCTTTAACAAAATTTCAACTTAATTAAACCTCCTGCTGCTATTAGAAAGTACAAGTATGTTGTGTAAAGTGTAAACCGCAGACAGGATGTGCTGCTGTTCGTTGGTGTCAGTGACAACAGTATAAAGCGTACGAGCTGATGATGTAGAGAGCTCTTGTCTGCCTCTGGTGCAGCGTTCACTTCAAACCCATTTCACAAGAGGCTGTGAAAATGTCAGAGCTCCTCTTTAATTATGAATGAGAACAGTTTACGGAAATGCACCAAGGACAGCAGGCTACAAGGGAAGTCCTCACTGTTGTACATAAAGGTGCATGACGTAACTTTTCTGCCGGAGGGCTGCCTAGAATGTTCCACAGTATGGCATTTAATTTATCTATCATCATGGAGACAAAAAGATGACAGCACCAGGCCAAGGTTTAGGTCAGATCTGTAGAGGATATGGCTCTTAAATTGGAGATGTTATTGCTATGTCTTGAAATGTTCCACAGTATGACATCTGAGGCCCTGTCCACACTAGTACGTATTAGAGTTGTTTTCGTTGTGGATGCAGTGTTCATCCACACTAATCCAATGGAAAACAGCTCCAGAGATGGAACGATGTGGTGCCGCCAGCTCCCACGAATTCATTTGAGTACGAATCTGATCCGGCACTGTGTGGGCGACTGAAAACACTGATATGCTGGCATAGGTCTATGCGGCGCAAAGTAATTCACCACCAAAATGCTATGAGGCTAAAATATATATCCATTCATATATACGGTCTATGTGTATGACCTGCAGACGTATAATCTCTAAAAAGCTTAACATGAACCATGTCCAATGTGATAGAAGCACAGAACAGGCTCACCATCAGCAGAACACCCCTGTGTCACAGAAAGAACAAATGAGCCATGTGGTTTTAAGTTTTGTTTCTGTAAAACGTAAACAAATATGCTCAAAGCTGTGTGGATAGGGAAGACTAGCAGACACAGAAACAACGTGTGTGGATGCAAATAGTTTCCGATATGGTGATTCGTTTCAGTGTAAATGTAGGCTGACTTGCAGTAAGAACGCATGCAAAAAAGCAAAAAACATATAATAAAACTCAATCAAACTTACATGAAGATTAGAAGGTCACCATCTGTAATT